ATTCACAGTGTGGATTTAATATAACTCTGTATGACATAGATACATAATGAGATCCTATATAGGCTTCTACCACACTGAAGAATTAATGCTGTCTGACATCATTTTAACTATCATAACTCCATCCTGTGGAATCCTGGGATTTGTAGTTTGCTGTGGCACCAGAGCTCTCTGCTAGAGAAGGCTAAATATATCACAGAACTACAAATCCCAGAATTCCATAGCATTGAGCCATGGCAGTTAAAGCACTGTCAGCCTGCATTAATTCTGCATTGTAGATGCAGCCATAGAGATTAATTTATGTTTAAGGTTGGGTCAAGCAGCTGGGAAGAACTTAATTGTCTAAAACAGATGCAGCATGACGTGGGCTATATCTTATGCTGTCTTAAGGCAGGGAGGAGGAACGTCTAGATGGGTAGAGTTGTTGTTTGGTCTATTAGAATATCATAATGGATCCACAGCTTCATCCCTCCACAAAGGAAACATAATGTGTTTGCATGTGATGAAGTGGGCTGCACTCCACAAAGCTTATGTCAAATAAAAATATTTGTCTTTAAGTTGCCACAACTCTGATTTTTGCTGTACAAGATTGATATGGGTACCCCACTGGAGCATCATATAATTTATTAGAATGAACTAGTAAGCAACTTCCTTCAAGAGGTATCACCCTAGGATTATAAACAGTCAGAAGAAGTCCAATTCCTCAGGGAGCCATAACCCTGTCTGTTTGGTCTTGGCTAGTCCATCAACTTTTTGTTGGGTTCTGGCACTTGTCTAAACAAGCAACTGAAGATACCACAACTGTTTATCTGCCTAGATCTGAAAACCAGATAGAAATTGGGAACCAGTTAGTCATGTATGCCACATATGGGAAGTTGGTGGGCTACACTGGCACCTTGACCACACTGTGTGCAGCTTTTAGAGCTATGGGATGCCTTATTCTTACCACTGTTATCTCTTCTCCTACCAATCAATAATCAGGGTGTTGGGTGGAGAAAAGAATAACATTAATGATGTGCTTCAATGGCTTATTGGTCACTTCTCAACTTCCTTAGTGTTACTGATGAAGACTGGACCTTCCCAACTGCCATTAGTAATCTGCATCAAGACAACTGGGAGAAGAGTTGAAGCCCATTCCTCCTTCCGGCCATTTTAATGCAGGAATTTGTATTTTCTCATCATTAACAGCAAGGAAAAAACAAGTGGGAAACAGAAGTGCTCTTCACCAAAGTGATCTTAATGAAGACTTACAGTTAATAGTAATAAGGGAACAGGACTCCAACCCATGCCTGATCCATTTTCATGCAAGGAGGGCAGATTGAAACCATTCCCTTCTCCAAAGTGACATGTAGGCTCTGTGTGTGCATTTGTGCTCATTCATGAAACGTATTCCCAGGTATGCAACTTCTGCACCACAAATGAGGGTACTGAATGTAGCACACAAGGGCAAAAGAAAAAAATAATCCAGGATGCATGTGGTGTTTTATGGTTTGTTTGCTGTGTGCAAAAATAAAGCTTTGAACTTCCGAGTTACTGACTAAAGTGATCCTGTGCATCAGGTGCTGATCTGGGTTGAATTACACTGAGTAGGATAAAACCATTTTCAAAAGGGGCCAGTTAGGATCTAAACTTGAACCTGTCTGTCTGTGCACATCCATAAATATAGAGGATCTAGCTATTTTGCACAATACTTTTTTTTTTACTGACCTGATTGTACTTTTTCTTATTCTTTTCTGCGGATCCATAGTCATATGCCCGAAACAGCTTTGAATTATGAATCTAGAGTTAAAGATCAAAATGAATTGTGGTTAGAGTTTGACAATAATTGGTATTTACTAGGAGGTGGTGCAGTGGTCCGACCGTTGGATTATGACTCTGGGGAGTTCAAATATCTGCTCAACCATAGGTGGACAAGTCACACTCTCTCAGTCTCAGAGGGAGGTCAAAGCAAACCCCCTCTGAACAAATGTTACCAAGAAAACCTTGTGATAGGTTTGCTTTAGAGTATGAAATGAAATTTCATAAGTATGAAATGACTTGAAGATACACAAGAGCAAAAAGATGGAAACAATGTTTGAAAATATTTCAAAAATGGTTGGAAAACATGTTTTCTAAGCATCAGGGAATCCTTATGAGAATTCTGACAATCTTTGCAATTCAGTTTATTTTCTATTCTAGAAATGCTGTTTCCTTTGCAAAGAATGTTGTCTTCTGAGAAAGGAAGGAAGGAAGGAAGGAAGGAAGGAAGGAAGGAAGGAAAAAATTACTCATTCCATGCTTTGAAATTAGTGCAGAATTATGTCCTCAGTATTCACATAGAGGTTGAGCTAGACTATATTAAAGGTTAAGGTGGAAAGGTGAAATGAATGTCTAGTTGTAACTGACTTTAGGGGAACAATGCTTATCTCTGTTACTAAGCCGAAGAGCCAGCATTGTCCAAGGACTGTTCTGGTGGTCATGGGCCAGCATGACTGCACCAAATGTTGTTACCTTCCCACTGAAGTGGTACTTATTTATGTACTTGCATTTGCATGCTTTCAAACTGCTAGGTTTGCAGAAGCTGGGACTAGTGACAGAAGCTCACCCCATCATGCAGCACTCAGGCCTTAAAATGCCAGCCTTCCAATCTTCCAATCATAAGAATTGGCATCTTAACTACTAAGCCACTGCCTCCCATAGTCATGACATGACTATATTAGTCATGCTTTAATTTCAATGAAATAAAAGTAACTTCTTCCTCTTCTTCCTCTTCCTCTTTTCCTTCTCCTCCTTCTCCTCCTTGTATTTCTTTCCTTCTTGTATTTCTTTATAACCCACCTTTTCCTCATGCGAATTCGCCCCAGGATCGAGCGGAGAGGCCTTGGAAACGGTCCTCCAAGCCCCCCCCCCCGTTTGATTCTGGGGCAGATTCACCCCAGAATCAAGCGGAGGCACCTTGGAGGACCATTTCTAAGGTGTCTCTGCTTGAACCTGGGGTGAATTCACCCCAGGAGCAAGTGGAGGGACCTTGGAAAGGTCCCTCCAAGGTCCCACCGCTCAAGGATCGAGCAGTGGGGCCTTTCAAAATGGCGCCCATGCCATGTGCGTGTGCGCACGCGATGCAGGACACCATTTTGGAACACCCACGGCGCCGTGCACAGCCGTGGGTGTTCCAAAATGGCGCCTCCCAGGAGTGGGAGCGCGCCCAGCGGCAGCGGTGGCAGGGGTCCCTGGGGGCCCGTCCAAAGACCCCTGGGGGCCGGACCCGGCCCGCAGGCCGTAGATTGCCGACCCCTGGTGTAAGCTATTTACAAAAGTCTGGAGTGAAGATTTTCATATCACTACTAACTTACTTCAAATCAACCTCCTCTCTCTCACACTGCCCAAGCCCCTTTCTGGGTTGGTGTTTGCAGCACAATTTGGTCAAAGAAAGAGAGTTCTCCTTCTTCTGACTGCACAAAGGGCCTTTTAGGTTCACCACCTCACCACCCAAACCCCTTGCCAGAAGTGGTGTTTGCAGCAGGGTGCATTTGGTAAAGGATGGAGGGATCTCCCTTTTCCAAACCTCCCAGGGCTCTGTGGTCTTTCAGCCCTTTCAGTTTGGCTGAGATAAAATATTCTTCAGATATGTCCAGACTATCTTCTTTAACACTACTTCCTCATCCTCTTCTTCCTCCTGCTCCTCCTCCTCCTCTTTTTGAGAGAGGGACAGAGGGTACTGGAGTTATTTCAAGACTCATGAGCCCACCAGTGGATAGACATTCAATTTTTTTTAAAAAAAAACAACAATATAGGTTCCCTATGGCAAGGATAGGCATGCTGCAAGAGTCAGAAAGCCACTTTGAGGTACTGCTGAATGTTGGTGCTTGCACCCCCACCATCTCACAGTACCACTTCTTCACTATCACTCCCAACCTGGCCTTGCCAGAGCAGAAAAGGTTAGGAAGACAAAGGCTTAGAAAAAAGGCTAAATAATGTTTTTTTATATGTGAGGAAAACAAGATTACAGTGAACCCTCAGTATCTGTGGACTTGTCATCTGTGGATTTGAGCATCCGTGGATGGCAAGCCCACGTTGTTCCCAATGGCGGCACCCATGCAGAAAGATAGCCTGAGCTCAGAGCCAGCGAGGGTATGTCCCATCCTGTCCTGTCCTATCCCACTGACCCTCTTTCCCTCTTCAGCCAGTGCCTCCGTTTCCCCTTCGCCTTGCCTCAGACACTGCAGAGGAGGAGGAGGCGGCAGTTGCACTTGGTGCTGTGTCGTTGTTTGCGGCATCTCTTCCTGGGCCAAGCCCCACTATCTCAGCCCGCTCTCAGCCTGCTCTAAGAGACTAGAGCTGAAATGCCCAACAAGCCATGAAAAACTAGTGGGGGACTCTCAGCAATCCACACTCTTTGGGCCTCAAAGGAAGGCAATGGCAACCTCCTTGGAACAAATCTTGCCAAGAAAACCCCAAAATAGGATTGTCATAAATTGAAGTTGAATCAAGGGCACATAACAAGAACACTGGTTCTGGTTCAATGATCCAAATCATAATGAATACAGAATATATGAACAGTCAATATACCTGGCACCAATGAAGACCATTCTGTACAGAAGTTCCAGAAGGATTATGCGCTATATACATATCAAGCCGGCTCTGAAATAAAACATTTGGTAATCACAATGTCTTATGGAATAGCATATATTGTCTAACTAGAATTCAAAAGTATCTTATTGGATTACAAATCCATATTGTGGCAATATCTTTATTAGGCCAACCTAAAAGGCATAAAGGAGTGTGCAAATGTTTGAGATATTCAGATCTCTTCATCAGCTAAGACATTTAAAAGTCAGGGAGGAGGAAGAGAGGAACTAATTTACTTTAAAGTCAGGTCTATCTGTTATTTCCTAAGGAGTAATGGGAGGAATTATCTGGAAAGTCACAAACAGGGCTCACAAATAGGACACAGAAAATTCTGTGGTGAATTCTTCTTTTATCTAAGTGAGGTAATAAGAAGGAACTAATTGCTCTTGCTGAAAGCCAGCATGGCATAGTGGTTTGAGTGTTGGACTAGGACTCTGGAGACCAGGGTTTGATTCCCAGCTCGGCCATGAAAAACCTATTGAATGAGGTTGGGCAAGTCAGATGCTCTCAGCCTCAGAGGAAGGCAATGGCAAACCTCCTCTGACCCAATCTTGCAAAGAAAACCCAATAATAGGTTTGCCTTAAATCAGAAACGACTTGAAGGCACACAACAAAAAAATTGCTCTTGCTGCATATGAGCACCCAAAACTTAATACTAGTGGAAAACATTATAGACTTGGAACAATCACTATGAAAATTTAAAGAGGTGCAAAGGCAAACTTACTGCTGAACATAAAGACAAAAAATAATGATCACAGAGGAGCTATATAAATTCAACCTAGATAATGAAGAAGAAGAAATAATTAAACATTTCCCGTATGTTGGAACAAACATTGATCAGAATAGAGACTACAGTCAAGAAATAAGAAGATGACTAGGATGGGCAGGGCAGCTATGAAAGAACTAAGCAAGATCCTAAAGTGTCAAGATATACAGCTGTGCACTGAAGTTAGAATCATCCAAGCCATAGTGTTCCCCATCACTATATACACAGGCCTGCACAACATACGACTCAGGTGCCACAAATGGCCTGCCAAAGGATTTCTGGTGGCCCGCAAGGATGTGGAATGACTTCAAGGTTCCTTCATTGCTTGGCCTTCTTCTGAGGAGAGGGCCATGTAGAGGAGGAGGAGGAAGAAGGGCAAACACTCACCCTGCAAGGCTCCTTTGCTGCTTGGCTTTCTCCTGAGGAGGAGGAGGAAGATGGGCAAATACATGCCCTACAACAGTGATGGCAAACCTTTTAGAGACCGAGTGCCCAAACTGCAACCCCAAACCCACTTATTTATCGCAAAGTGCTGTATCCCTCTGCCTTTCTAGTAATGAACTCTGGCAAACTCTGCGCTGGGTTGCACATGCCCACAGAGAGGGCTGAGTGACACATTTGGTACATGTGCCATAGGTTTACCACCACTGCCCTAAAAGATTCCTTCGCTGTTTGACTTTCTCCTGAGAAGAAGGCCTGGTGGAGGATGAGGATGAAGAAGTGTGAATACTCACAATGCTCCTCCACTGCTCAGATTTCTCCTGAGGAGAAGGCTGGGTGGTGGAGGAGAAGGAGTAAAGGCAAACACTTGTTCATCAGGGCTCCTCCACTGCCCAGCTTTCTCACAAGGACAAGGCCAGGCAGCAGCAGTGGATGACAGGCAAATGCTTACCCTGCAAGGCTTCTCTGCTATCCAGCTTTCTCCTAAGGAAAGGGCCAGACAGAGGAGGAAGATGATGGATTTAATAGTAATAATATTTTGATATATTAAATATATAATATTTAATAATTAATATTAAACAATATACAATAATATATAATATACAATAATATTAATATAGTTAATTAATTAATATTTAATTAAAACCTATCAGTGGCCCCAAGAAGTTTAGTTTATTTTAATTTTGGCCCCTTCCTATTGCTAAGTTGTGCTGGTCTGATATATACAGATGTGAGAGATGGACAGTAAAGAAAATGGATAGGAAGAAAATCAACTCATTTGAGATGTGGTGCTGGAGAAGAGTCCAAAGGGTACTTTGGATAGCTAAAAAGACAAACAAATGGGTCCTTGAACAGATCAAGCCTGAACTCTCTCTGGAAGCCAAGATAAGGAAACTGAGGCTGTCATATTTTGACCACATCATGGGAAGGCATGACTCATTGGAAAAGATAATAATACTAGGGCCTTCCCTAGAAAGTACTAGAGAGAGAGGAAGACATCATACCAGATGGCTAGATTCAATCAGGGAGATCATGGGTTTGAATTTGTAGGACCTAATCAGAGCAGTGGAGGAGGTCGCCATGAGTCAAGGTTAACTCAAAGGGAGATACCAATAACTACAATTGATGTTTCAGATTAAAATATCCTAGCCTCTGCTTGTTCAATCTTTCCCAATCAGGATTACAGACTTTGGATTCCTGAAACATGTACTAAAGTCTGTGTGTCATGCCCTGCCTGGACAAGGACTCAGAGGATGAGGAGG